ATTTGTACATAGGTTGCCACCATCATTTTCTAAACATTTACTTTCTGTTTGAGCCCTTGTATCAGCTCCTCTTTTTCCCTTTTTGCCCCCTCCCCCTCGCGACCCCTTGATAAATTATAAATTATTATTAGTTTCATATCTTACACTGTCTTCTGTCTCCATTCGCCCATGTTTCTGTTGTTCATTCCCCTGGTGGGGTTATGTGTCGATCATTACCATCAGTTCCCTCTTCCTTCCCTCCTCCCCCACCTTCCCCTCCCCTCCGTATTGTTACTCCCATTTCCCTTCCTGAGGGGCTTATCTGACCTGGATTCCATGTCTTGTGAGCTCTTATCTGTTCCAGTGTACAAGATCCAGTGTATTGAAAGGCAGGACTGGGTTCTTGATAGTGGGGAGTAAGGAAACCTCAAAGAGCCAGAGCAGTATTGTGTGTTTCATTGGTGCTATACTGCACCCTGGTTGACTCATCCCTTCCTTGTGATCCTTCTGTGAGTGGATATCCTTTTGTCTAAAGATGGGTTTTGGGTCTCTGCTCTGACCCACCTCGTTCTCAACAATATGTTTTGCCTCTTGCTGAAATATAAGGCATCCCCCCTGAAAATAAGACCTCCCCGAAAATAAGGCCCCCCAGAGCTACTGTAACTCTGGACTCTGGACCATAGTGGCAGGCGCCACCGAGCAGCTCACTGTTGGCCGCAGCGCAGCCGGAGCAGACAGGAAGTGCGAGGTCTCTTGTAATAAAACAATAAACAATAAATGTGTACCGTATTCTTCTTCATGGAAAAATAAGACATCCCCTGAAAATAAGACCTAGTGCATCTTTGGGAGTAAAAATTAATATGTCACTGTCTTATTTTGGAGGAATTAGGGTAGATGGCCGTTTGTTTAACTTCAAGCCTTTAAGACCCCAGACGCTATACCTTTTGGTAGCCAGACACCATCAGCTGTCTTTGCAGAGTTGCTTCACACGAAGCACAAGGAGGACGTGCTTTAGTGGCATGGGGTAAAGCAGGAGCCCTCCGCAACATTGTGTCCAAGTTTGTTGGTGGAACGAGCTTGGCATGTGCTACTCCAAATTTTATGATTAAGTAGCTTTTACCTTTTTTTTTTAATTACGAGAATCTCAAGGATACTGCAGACCTTTTTAATGTCTTGAAATATTTGTTTTAATATATATGCTTTTCACATAATATTCTGAATTATAAAAATACCATCATTGCACCTCAGAAGTTGAAAATGAAAATCACCTTCCCTTTCCTTGTATGTATTTCATTTTAATGTATTTTTAATGGCTTCCACATGACTATCTTTAGCATTTTTCTTTCCTGTGAATTAGGTGGACATTTCAGATCATCCGTTTTGTAGTCAGTTAAAACTACTCAGCAAATAGTTTACCCCCTTTGATTTTTTTCTCTCTCACTTGATTACTACTGTCTTCTCCTTCACCCAAATCAATTCCTGTCAACCCACTTGTCTATTGTTTCATCTTCTCTCCCATCCCCTTCCACTCTTGGTAACCTCCACAGTCTATTCCCGTTGGTATGAAAGCCTTTGTCCTCTTTTTTTTTTGCCTTTGTAACTGTGGTCTTATGCAATATTTGCCCTTTTGTGATGAACTGGTTTCCTTCAGCATATTGTTCTCTCATGGACTGTGCTGGTTCCCCCATGCCAGGAGGCTTTATCCTTGTTTTTCAGTGATGCAGAGTATTCCCTTGTGTGTACGTTCCAAAGTTTTTTTTTAATTTATTTTTTTCAACATTTTATTA